ATATCACCCCGGTTTCTTTCACGGGTTCTTATTTATTTGTTTTCGTTCACACGTTCATAGCATAATATATCACCCCGGTTTCTTTCACGGGTTCTTATTTATTTGTTTTCGTTCACACGTTCATAGCATAATATATCACCCCGGTTTCTTTAATTAGTTCTCATTTATTTGTTTCCGTTCACATGTTCACAGCATAATATATCAACCCGGTTTCTTTAATGGGTTATCGTTTGTTTGTTTTCGTTCACACGTTCACAGCATAATATATCAACCCGGTTTCTTTAATTAGTTATCATTTATTTGTATCCGTTCACACGTTCATAGCATAATATATCACCCCGGTTTCTTTAATGGGTTCTCATTTATTTGTTTCCGTTCACACGTTCATAGCATAATATATCACCCCGGTTTCTTTCATGGGTTCTCATTTATTTGTTTCCGTTCACACGTTCACAGCATAATATATCAACCCGGTTTCTTTAATTAGTTCTCATTTATTTGTTTCCGTTCACACGTTCATAGCGTAATATATCACCCCGGTTTCTTTAATGGGTTCTGATTTACCGTAAGAGGACTCTCTGTGAAAAACTGAATCTGAAGCGGCCCTTGGTGAGGAACTAGCTCCCTCTGGGACACCCCGTTCATTTTGAGAGTACACAACTCTCTTTCCTGTACGTTTATTTATTCTATTGTGTGACGCAAAACCATCATTGTAGAAATGAACAGGGTTGCCTTCTTGAACGTTTCGAGCCTGTGGGTGCGATAAAATGTCACTGGTACTGCTACGCATATTGGTACGCTTTGGTAAAACCTTTTTCCTGTGCACTTCAGGAATTAAGTCTGGCCCATTGACTTCCTCTTCTCTAACTCCTGGCAAAACCAGTGCCGCTTTGTAACTTTGATCTCGTTGTTGTGAGCGGTTTCCATTGACAACAGTTGCGTAAGGCCACCAGGTTACGTGGTTCCCAATGTTTGTTAATGCAGGCGGCTCAAGTTGAAGTTGCATTTGTTTCATGATTTCGGTTGTTGAGCCGAATCGGGGGCGAATTCCCCTAACTGATGGCCTACGAGAAAACCCGAATGCAAGACCCGTGTCATCTTCAGATAAACTATACCGTTTACGAATCCTCTCAATCCTTATTAAGTCCTGTTTTACAAATCGTTCCAACTCATCTGACGCACCACTGGTGAGAACACCCCTTTTGCCCCCATGCGACAACCGTAAAGAGGGTGCGTGGAAACTGCGTAAGTCGTCAATTACCCCTCCATTGGTAAAAGGTTGAGCAATTCCGTTACTAGTAGGAGAACTGAAGCCACTGGATTGATAATCTATTTTCCAATCCCGTAGGTCACTGGGGATCATCATGGTAGCTAACCTTTCGTCTCTGCTAGAAAGATCTTCCCAATCATTCCCGAGTGATGATGGCCTTTTCTGAAAATTCCCTTGTCCGTGAACATGGCGTTTTTTTCGAAGTATGACAGGAAGTGATCGTCCTGTCTGTGGTAAATATTGGTCACACAGCACCTTCCCATTTACCGGTTCCTCGGGTAACGCACCTTCAAAGCTAACAGCCTCGTGATTATGGTTTTCAGCGATGTTACAAGTATAATTTTGTAAACTATTTGTACCAGTTCCTAATTCACCTTCTTGCTCCGAAATTTCACTAGTCAACCATTTCAGTTTTTCAACCAATGACGTATCTGATTTGGGGGGTGATTTTGATTGCTCTTTATTTACTTCTCCACCAGATGGCGAATATTTCTTTCGAGCTTTAGTTTTCTTTTGTAAACTGCGGCGCAAAGCATTTTTTTCAATTGTTTCGCGAATTTGAGAGTTAGTTCTAAGGATACCATTTAGCCGAAGTTCAGAGTGCTCTTTCAGCCTTTCATTTCGTTTTTCGTCGCGGAGAAATGGGGAAGAGCCAGTTAGTTTATTGTATTCGCTGCCATGCAAATTATAAGTTAAATTTTCGTTTAGGTTTCCACTCACGTGGTCTCCCAAAATCCGTCTCCGAAGCTTCTCGTACCTTCGTAAACTATCCCGAATGTGTTCCTCGTTCCGTTTCCTCTCTTCTGACGTCATCATGATGATGGTTTCTTGAGATGACATGCTAGAATCACTATCTGTCTCCTGGATAGAGCTACGTGGATTAAGCTCGGCCTGCCAGTCCTCGTCTTCCTTCCCGGGATGGACCAGGTCCACACTGAACTGTTTCAGTGGGGGTGAGAGGCTAGAAGGCTGTTTCTCCAGAGCGGGGGTTTTAGTCTCAAGCTCCGTGATTCCAGACAATACGTCTGGCACACATTCTCGAGTTTTAGATTCCAACGAGTCGCTTATTCTGTCGTCAGAACTCACATTATCCAATGTTAGAACAGCAGTGTTTTTCGAGCTGTTCCCGTTTTCGCAAGTTTCTTTTTCTTCTTCGAGAAAGGTCTCGCACTCAAGTCTTTTTTGGATGTCTTCGCCTGGATTAATGGTACAAAGTGGTGCTTTTTCCACGCATACATCTTTATCCTCGCCGACACTTGATAAGGTATCACGAACAACACAAGTTTCCACAGTTGTGTTACCTTTATTTAACCTCACTTTGACGTTACAGTTGCCATTGGTTACTTCGGTAATACCTCCTTCCTCTGATGCCGTCTCTATGGATACCGTGTCAAACTCTCTTTCCAGAAGAAAAGTCACGTCATCCGTTGTATCTTGATATTCAGTTGGGGGGTTGAGATCCAACGAGTCTTGATACTGAGGCGGGGGCTCGTACACGGAACATGCTTCGGTTAGGGTTAAATCTGTTGGCCTTATAGCAACTACCTTTGGTCTAGAAAATTCCTCCGAAAACACAGTCATAGTTTCACTAAATGTAACTCGAGACGATCTGTTTTTAAACCGATTATAGCTTTTCTTCAACGAGGATTTGAACGGTTTAGAATTTTGACTAATATTCTGATTATATCCTCTTTCATTACGGTGATCTAAGTCACTAACTATAGACGCTTTACCTTCGATCGAATTGGTCAGTGTGTTAAACCCACATTCAACCTCGTCTGTAGTAGCCTTCTCTTCATTGTTCATTGGAAGATCATCGGAGTTCAGCTGACCCAAACTTTCTTCCTCATTATGAGAAGAAGCCATTCCAACATTTTCAGTTCCTGACGGTGTCACTTCGCTGCGTTTTGGACTCACGCGCGTGGACATTAGCTGGACATCGTTTTCGGTAATGATGGTGTGAAGTTCCTGAACATTGGTGTCCGTTACTTTTACGCTTTGATTACGTTGTGTTCGCTCCGCAGATTCTCCGATGATATCGTTACTATATTTACAACAGACTTTCTTACTTCTAGGAGCATTTACGTCGGTTTCGACGTAGTTAGCCTGACATTGGTCACATTGTTCCTGCGCATCGATCACAAACTCACAAGCTTGTGAAACGCTGACGTTCTCGTCCACGTGGTCAGACTGTAGGCTCTCTATTTTCTGTTCTCTATGCTCCGACTTCTGCGATAGTCCAGACTCGCGTTCTACCGACGCTAGAATGTCCTCTGGACGCCTATCAGCTGCAGACGTTACCTTGAGCGGCGCTAACCCTAACCGACAACTGGCTCCCTTCTGCTGCGATTGGTTGCTCCGGATGCTCGGCGAAGACTCTTGCTTGTCGTCAGCGGTGAGCTCGTTAGCTTCAGATGACGAAGAAGTAAACGTCATTGATCTTTGGCCGCCCCCACTTACTTCACCATTCGAAAACACTGGTCCAGTAATGATACTAGATTCCCCTTCCCCTTTCACGGTCGTTTCGTAGGCATTGCATTCTGACAGTACTAGATTATATCTCAAGCATAGGTTCTCGCTAGTTTCGGGCTGCCGTTTCATTGTTAATAAAGTTTACGGGGCGAATGACATGATTGTTGTTTTTAACCCAAATGTAAGTTGTATCTGCCTTTCCACGTTTCAGTATAATTCAGTTTTACTTGAATGAAACAGTATTCAAAATACTTAAATCAAACAAAACATCAACGGCGTTTATGCATCTTATAATATCAAAACTGGAGATCAGCATCTCGAGTCTCAACATAAACATTTTAAGCCAGTGGTGGCGTTGTTAATTCATATCGAGGAAAATCATTTTTAAATGGTAAACTATTTAGACTCAGGGGAGAGAGCCTTAAAGCACAGGCAGCCACTGCTGTAAGAGCCCTTTTTATTCGCCTGGTTCCTATTCTGAATGGAAAAACCACTACACTTCAACGCTTTAATTCGGTATTTTAAAGATTATAAACGGCGTTACCCAGGTGAAATGAGCTGGTTATGTGATTTGTGCGCACTGCGTCTTACACTGAATTAATATCCTTCCTTACGAGAACAAAAACTCTCCAGCGGTTTTGATTCCTTCGTTTTCTTGAGAGCTGTTAGAAAGAATGTAACTGGAAATTGTACTACAAGATGAGCGAAAAGTAGTCGTTTGGTTGATCTCCTTTCCTCCTGGTTCACTTGATCAATCTTGCGTTATTATTAGTAAATGCTTTGAGCCGAATTTCCCTGAAAAATAACGAGATAATCTAATTAGTTTTATAACAACTTAAAACAACAACAACAACCTTGAGTGACTTTACACTAATAATTCTGTAACTTGATAGCGCCATCTCGAGATAATCTAAAGGATTACTTTCGTTTTATAATTTTACTTCTTTAATACGTGTAAAACCATCCCGTATAATAATATTCAAAACGTCTACAAAAGATAAATAAATAAAACAATTAAAGCTGATAACAGCAGTTCTGTCTAAACGATTTATTGTGAGAGATGAAAAAAATAACCAGGATTCAGGATTTTAAAATAGTAATGATAATATTTTGTGCTTATATATATTCCTCGAAATACAAAGAAATAATGTATTTATGATTGTATTGAATTATAACAACACAATATAATAACAGGTAAGCGAACACATTAGGCCTAATTACACGAGTCTTACACACCAAGACACCGTAAGCGAACACACTAGGCCTAATTACACGAGTCCTACGTATCAAGACACCGTAAGCGAACACGCTAGGCCTAATTACACGAGTCCTACATATCAAGACACCGTAAGCGAACACGCTAGGCCTAATTACACGAGTCCCACACACCAAAACACCGTAAGCGAACACACTAGGCCTAATTACACGAGTCCTACATACCAAGACATCGTAAGCGAACACACTAGGCCTAATTATACGAGTCCTACATACCAAGACACCGTAAGCGAACACAATAGGCCTAATTACGGTGAACTCGCTCCAGATGATTTCCGCTAGAAAATGTTAGGTAACGTCTGACACCGGAGGGGGTCAATAAATATGTCCATCACTCCGGATAATATAAATATATTGTTAAACACTAGTGAACGCCACAGTAACTAATCGCCAGAGGTCGCATTTGTTTGTTGAGTTTTGCACAAAGTTACTCGACGACTATCTGCACTAGCTTTCCACAATTTTGAAGTAATAGATTATAGTGAAAACCAGTCAAGGCCGACGCGACATGTTTTTTGTCGCTCTGTGCGAACGCTAACTGTGCAGCCCACCCCTGCTCTTCCGCCATTATAGGCATTCTACACAATTACGATTTTATAAATACCATTATTAACGATTGAGTCACAATGTTGAAAACTATAAAATAATTGTCATCCATAAAAACCTGCGATCTGTGCTGCACCTCACCAGCCACCACCAACTCGTGGGCTATCACCGTCGCTCCGGCCCCAACACCAGCCACCACCAACTCGTGGGCTATCACCGTCGCTCCGGCCCCAACACCAGCCACCACCAACTCGTGGGCTATCACCGTCG